TCGAATACATTGTGTCGTTTAGTAAAATATTTTGTAAATATTTGAAACAATTTTAAAATTTGTTTGGTAATTATGCATTATTTTTATAAAAATAATAACAACGAAACATACAGGATTCAAAAAATACTTAGAAATAAGAAAATAAAAAAAATAGAAAGGTATAAAGTTGGCTGTACTCGTTTGAGTACAATGACAGTATCCATTAGTAAGAATATTTAATTCTTTTGTTAGATTTAAAATATGAGCGATATACGTTTTACGGTCCAGCAGAGTTTCAAAGGGCTTCAAGAGGCCGTTGATAGCATTTTCGCTGATAGTGAAGACGAAGAAATTGATATGGCTATCATACCACCTAATCCGAGTATACTAAACAGCGAAGATGAAGGTGTTGAGTATGATATGACTTCATCAGCCCTACCGCAAGATATTCCTGGGACAATTGATGTTTTTGCAAATCTTCTCCTCGATCTTAAAAAATTAAGATACCGTGCAACTGGAACTGTCAGGGAAAACTGAACCAGAAAGTGTCCTTTGACTACCAGGAAGGAAATGAAGAAGCAGGATCGAGCTGCATATGACTACATGTTCGATAAAGAAAATTGTATTTTGTTGGTAAGATGGAAAAATAATAGTTAGTGTTTGCACAATGGGAACCAACTATGACACAATTGAAACGTTAGGAATCCTTAAGCGTTGGTGCAAAGAAACCACAATAAAAGAATGACTGGGGTTTATGATCTCGATCAATCCATCTCTTTGTATAGGATTGCTGTTCATGATAAGAAGTGGTGGTGGGTTTTATTTACATAAATGCTTTTGATATGACAATTTCTAACGCTTGGAGGCTACATGTAATGTGCAGTGAGAGTCCCATGGATCAACTTTTGTTTCCCGAAACATTTCACGTTATTATATCCGCCAAGGTGGACAAAAGAAATCATGGAAGTCTATGCCAATAGCTGAAGGTTTACGTCAAGATGGAGCTAGGCACTATCCCACAAAAAGAGAATAACAGTTGCGGTGCGTAATTTTCCATGCCGGAGTACGTTGGTAGTGCAAAAAATGTTTTAAAACACTTTGTGTCGAAAAATAATGTCTCAAAAAATTTTATACTTAAGAAGTCAGTGTACTCATTTGAGTACACCCCTAAAACTCGCTTTCAATAAAAAATTTTTAAAATTTTCTTTCATTTTATGATTTTTTATGCTTGTTTTTATTAATAAATAAATCTAAAATCAAAAACTTAAAGCCGGTTTTCATTTGACCTCTAATGGGTTAATATCTTTATCTTTATTTTTTAATAAAATATAAACTTTTTACAAACATTTTTCATCAGATGAATTCGCCGTACTTATGGTTTTTGACATCTACGTAAACCAAATGCAAGAACAAAATACATGTAAAATGTTGTTGTTACAGAACTGCCACCACCTTATCTGAATTCGCCTTTTTTCAATTTGTCTTAATGTCAAGCTCAATATATTCTGAATTGAATAATGTTTGTTTCAAACGAAAAATTCTATTCCGGCAGATTAATTTGCAAAATTTATGTGAGTGCCTGAAGTTAAGTAAAACTTAATTTTTTGTGATAAATAAACATAAAAAAGTACATATTCATGGCAATATTATATTACGAATGAATGAATATTTGTATGAATAAACATAAAAAAGTACATATTCATGAAAATATTATATTACGAATGAATGAATATTTGTTGCGAATGGATAATTCTACTCCGGCGGAGTAATTTTCAATATTTGGCCATAATGTAGCAGCCGCCGGACGGGTACATACCTCATATGGGGTTTGTTATATAAAGCTTTCCGGAACAGACTTGTTTTAGTTAATCTCTTTATCTACATAGTGTATATATAAAACAATATTGTTTAATTTGTTAACATTTAATAGATTTCAAAATTAAGCCATAACGTAGAAGTCAGCTGCCGCCAGCCGGGTAAATACTTCATATGCGTTTCTTAATATTAAGTGTTCCGGAAGAAATTTTTTTTAGTTAATCACGTTATCTAAACAATTTTAATATAAAATATAAAACAATATTGTGTAATATGTTAACATTTAATAGAAAAAATGTTTTTCTCCGTTTAACGGACATTTTTAAATATAAAAATGTAAACAATAACAAACTTTGACAGCTACGTAAATCAGGCGAATTAAGAAAAAAATTATCAGCTGATTGAATATCACCACCTTATATGAATTCGCCTTGGTCAGGCTGATTAACCATCTGACAAGAAAGGCGATTTTAAGTTTATGTATAAAACAAAGCTACCGTATTCTTGAATATTAATCCCACATTTGCTTTTAAATTTTCAAACTTCAAATAAATAACAAATATTTTACTTCAATTAAAAAGATATGTAACACAACAAAAAAAAATATTTTAATAAAAAAGCTTCTTTTTCCTAACTGCGAAAGCAAAAAACTCCATTCAAGCGTTTCAACTATATATTACACCGTATATACGCAAAGAATGGTTAAAATTACATATGTTATATTTTGGTGTGTAATATCGAAGAAGGCGATTTGCCTGGAGAATAACGAGAATTAATACTTAAATTTAAAAAACATAAGAATTAGCCCTGAATATAAAGCTCTTACTTTTTATAACCTACACCATTATAGTGGTCTTATTCGATTTAGTTATGTCCTTGTGCCCGTTCGTCTGTCTCTGTGTCCATGTAAACTTTGTGTGCAAGCTACAGTTGGAAATTTTCAAGATGATTTGATGAAATTTGGCACATACTCTTATTTTGACCCAAGGACAAAGTCGACTGAAAATGGTTAAAATAAGTCCTCTATTTCTCCTAGTTGAATGTTAATATCTCAACAAAAATCGGCAAAACTAAGTTTTATAAAAGTCTAAATGATGCTGCTGATTTTCGTAATGATCGGCCCTCATTTAATCCTAGCCCTCATACAAACTCCCCTTCAGAAAATGACTTGAAGCTTAAATATCTCATATAAACACTGATATCGCGATGAAAATTTGCATGAATAATATTAATGTAGACGTAAGTCCCTCTACCAAAATCTCCTTCAGAAAATGACTTGAAGGTCAAAATTCACTTATAATCACTAATAACACGATGAAATTCTGCATAAATAACTTTAATGTAGATATAAAATCATCTACCAAATTTTATAGGTATAGGCCCATATTTACCCTTACCCACATTAAAGATCTCATTGCAAATAAGGTTCCAATTTAACAACTACTTATAAATATCGTTGTACATTTCTAATGCATTACACATATGTATGTGTTTAAAATTTTCTCAAAGTACATTACACTTTTCCTTAATGTGGCAACGTTCGCTTTGATTATTTACACAAACAATAAACTTCAAACATCTCCTTTCTTGTCAACAAATTCATATTGAAACAACCTTCGATATGTATTAATTAAAATTTTTGCAATTAGAACATTTATTAGGACAGTATTACCTATCATAACTCTTGTCTATATTAGACAAATATTTATTATGCTGAACGTCAAATTGTTATCATGATAAAAAATTAGCAGGTATTGACAGCACTTATTGTGTGTTGTCTAAGCAATTGTTTAGACAACGTTGTCTTAATAACAAACAACATTGTAAAATTCGTATAGAATTTTGTTTTTGTGCAATTAAAATTGATTTTTAACATAAGTTTTAGTGAAATTAGTATTTATTTACAAAATATGCATTTAATTCCAATTGTTTCTGTAAAATATAGCATTATTTCAGTAAAATTATCTGTGAGTTGTCGTGATAAAATCAGCATTTTGTTAGTCCTATGCATTAACAAAAACAAAAAACTGACAATTTTTCTGCCGACGTTTTGTCAAGTGCTGGGATAAATATTTGTCTAATAAAGACACGGGGTAAGAAATATTTTTTTTTAAATCGAACAAATATTTTAGAAAACATTACAAAATATGTTTTAAATACATGTTTGAGTCAGAGTATATATAATTAATATATCTTGGCACAGCCGAATATATCATTCTAACTTTACAAAAAATACATCTCTAATCTAATCATTCCAAAATATATAAAATTTTTCATCCGTATATACTCTCAATGTGTGATGGTTTCATTACATAATGCGTTAGACGATCCCATACGTTCTTTTCTACAAAAATTATAGATCATATTACTTGTGGTATAATGTTAACTGGCGTTTAGATTTTTCCATTTTCAGTTTTTAATATTAATATTAAAGGAAATTAAAAAGTACCTTTTGAAGAAAAAAAAAAAAAAAAAACGTAAAAAATATGTCCTTTTATATGTTCTCATTTACTCCGTATTCTACACGCTTAATTTAATATTTCTATGTATTATATTATAGAAAACTTAAACAAAGAAGAATTACCAAAAAATAATTAAAAGACGTATGTATTATATCAAGACAAAGTTGTCTAAACAATTGTTTGTCTACTAACACTGCAATATCGATAGACCCGTGTCTATATTAGACAAATATTTATCACAGCACTTGACAAAACGTCGGCAGAATATTTTACGGTTTTTTATGTTAATGCATAGGAGTAACAAAATGCTGAGTTTATCACGACAACTCACAGATAATTTTACTGAATAATGCTATATTTAACAGAAACAATTGAAATTAAATGCAAATTTTGTAAATAAACACTAATTTCACTAAAACTTATGTTAAAAATCAATTTTAATTGCACAAAAACAAAATTCTATACAAAATTTACAATACAATGACTTTTGTTATCAAGACAACGTTGTCTAAACAATTGTTTAGACAACACTGTCATAACAACGCAATAACGCAAATATATGCTGTATCTGCTAATTTTTTATCATGATAACAATTTGACGTTTAGTATAATAAATATTTGTTTAATATAGACACGGGGTAATGGTGACTATACCTGATAATTCTTTATGTTGATAAGTTGACGTTTAGCATGAAAAAATTTATCAAGTCTAGGCATTGTTAAAGAGACGTTATTGAGAAACCAAATACCCATTACTTTTACAACTTTAGTAGTTGAATATTGTAAATGTTTACTACATTTTGGGATTAGTTGAGTTGCCGATATTTAATGTATAAATATTAACGTAAAATGTGTACGGACTATATTCAGAGTTATAATGATCTTCAACAAGAATTGGAGAATGCGAAAGATACATTAGTTGTTCTAAATGATAACATCAAGCGTATTATAGGCCGCGGCCCGAAGTTGCCGAAAGATCCTAGGTAATGTTAAAAATATATTGTAATATATGTCAATTATTTATAAACAATTTTACTCATTTTAATACAGTTTATTTAAATGAAGTGGATTCCAAAAATAATTTATTATTAATTTTATGTAAGTATGTATGTACGTATGTTAGACCTACTCGTAGAAGAAGTGTTTGTGATGTGCCACTCAAAATATACATACATACATACATACATACATACATACATACATACATACATACATACATACATACATACATACATACCTTGGGAACAAACCTAGATCTTTCATATAATTTGTGTGGTGATATTTTTTGTTTATATTCACATTGTGTTTGTTTAGTTTTTAAGTCTGCTGCAGACACAGCTAAAACTATCTTAACCTGAATCTTAGATCCACAGTGCCAACGCTAACGTCCGCATTATAAAAATTAAAAACTTAAAACACGAATGCATATGGTCAACGTGCACTTCAAAAAAACCATAACTCGGTACAGTTATACGATACCACACTTTTGGTCAATGCGGTTTGAAAAGTGAAACTCTCGAAGACAGAGAAAAAAGGATGTCCTAATTCTCCTTAGCCGGCGTTCGGACTCTGTGTATATCGAAAACTAGCTTCGTTAAAAATACTTTTTCTAAATATATAATTTGTTGGGGTACCAACTTATGTGTAAAAAACACAACTTTGAAGTACCATAATATTCTTGCCCAATCACGCTCATTAGCTTAAAATTAAAGGAGCTATCAATCCTTGTTCAGCTCTACCAGAATTTCGCAAAATTTTATGAAAATAAAATTAAAAATATTTTAAAATTCAATGAGACGTAAATCTCTGTATATTTTTTAATGTTTTACCTGGTAGAAGCTTTATAAAAGCAAATTGCACATAGTGCTTCTGTTGACGATCAGAAAAGAAGTGAATTTAATAAATTGATGGCAACGGGTACCATTAACCGTTTACTCGTTAGAATCTTTCATCAAAGTAGTAAATAAAGCGGAGCTTAACAATGTGATAACATTGCAAAAAAAGGATTCATATGCTGTCAAAAAAAGAGTAAACTATAAATCGAACATAAAATACCCACATAAAATTATTGAAATCCATGTTGGTATAACGATCTTGGTTTATAGGACCAACAAATAATTACAATAACATGTAAATTATACAGGCTGGTTGACTTCTTCACCTTCTTGCTGGATGAAAAGGGTTGATGACATCCTTGCAGAGATCAGTAGAAGAGAGGGCCGGAATTTTAACAGTCCTCTTTACCTCACATGAGCGCTTTGGTTTTCGCGATACCACCCTCTTTGCCTTTTGGCAGACTGCAGGTTGATGAAGCTATCGACCCATCACTCTTTAAGTTGTCTCCAGGGAGTGGACCAACCCATGCACTGAATAGCCATCGAGGCCCTCGGCACAGCTACCACTCACCTTGACCTTAAAAGCGCATACAGTGTCGGACAAAACTAAAACACGAACTTTTAATTATTAGAAAAACTTAGTAAAATTAAAAAATTGGTTACTTTGTATTTAAAGTTATTAGTTTAGAAAGAATATAGTCTAGAAATTATAAAACCAATGAAAAATAATATTGTTTAAAACTTAAATACATTATTTTTGGATAAATTACATATATTACATAAATTAGCCAAAAATTGCAGCGACAAAACTAAAGCACATAACCTTGGATATATTAAATTTTAGGGAGTTTTAGGAAATACTATCTGATGTAGACATTTTAAGAGCAAACTTACGTAAAATGTAAATAAAGAGAATTCATAACATTTTTATAGTCATTTTTGATCATTCGCCTTTGCAATGCACTTTCCTTCAACTTAAAATTCAAAATGGATCCTCAAAAGTATTTTTTGCGATTAAAAGAAAAAAATTATGGATGATTTTAATAAATGTCAATCATTGAAACGTATTTCTTAAAAAATTAATATATATCACACTATAATTTCGCAAATTATAGGCCACTTTCAATCATCAGGCTTATTTGCTGTAGTGGGGAACACAGAAAAAACCCTCAAACGGGAGGACCAGTATCGAATTTGGATATTAAAAATTTTTATATTACAATAATAAGGTCCATGGCAATTCAATAACTAAAAAATATTATGTCCAGAACTTTCCAGATAAGAACTGCAGAAGGTTGCTTAAAGCCATATTGAACAATGAACATTTTTCTGATGAATCGAAGCAAAATTAAAATGATTCTGATGAATTACAGTTAGAATCTAGGCCAGTAGTGTAATTATCGTTATACTGTGGTAAAAATAAAACACGGAGGGGGTAATATTGTGGTATTGGGATGTTTTCCATGTAATGTGATCAGAGAATTTTATCAATATAAAGTAAATAAATGGAATAAAGGATCGTTTTATGTATGAAAATGTCTTGCATATTATAAAGCTGTATTATACTGTGGAGATAATACCACAGAAATGGTGAGATCAACAGGAATTCCTTTTCCTCAGCGGCTTATAATTTACAAAATTATAGACTAATCGATAGATTTTTTAAGAAATTTGAGATTTACATTTATTAAAATCATCCATATTTTTTTGCAAGAAAAACTTTTTAGGAGCCATTTTGGATATTAAATTGCATAAAAGTGCACTAAGAAGGCGAATGACCAAAAAATGCTTATGAAATCGTATACATTTACTTTATATTACGTTAATTTACTCTTAAAATGTATTCAAGTGAAATAACGAATTCAATAGCAATTTGGTTAACAGTTTCTAAAAATTAACTAAAATTTTATATATTCATAGTTATGTGCTGTAGTTTTGTCGCTGCAATTTTAAGCTAATTTATATTATTGGATAAAAAGCAATATATTTTCATTCTAAAGCGGAGCTTAACAATGTGATAACATTGCAAAAAAAGGATTCATATGCTGTCAAAAAAAGAGTAAACTATAAATCGAACATAAAATACCCACATAAAATTATTGAAATCCATGTTGGTATAACGATCTTGGTTTATAGCAACGGTTCCCAAAAGGGGGTCCGCGGACCCCTAGTGGTCCGTAGCAAAATCCTAGGGGGTCCGCGAAGACGAACGAAAAAAATCATGAATAAAAAATATTCTCTATATGTTACAAAATATTAAAAATATCTCCAAATTTTTCATAAATACTAAAATACACAATTTTTATTCAATAATCCCAGATTTGTTGGTGACTCTTTGAATTTTATTGTTTCGGTCGTTTATCAGGATGAAGCTAGGCGCTACAAATTTATTGTTTCACTTTTATAAAGTAAAGTATTACGTGATTTGTAATTTTTATAAATATAAATGTTTTTATAGCAGACGGATAATGATTTGCCTTAGAATTAAATACTGATACTAGTATCCCGGAATATGAAGTTAGGTCACATTTCATAATATTTTTTTAAATTGTAAGCAAAAGTGTTAATCTAGTTAATTTTAAATATAAATATTCCATTCCAACGTGATACACAGATTTTAACTTCATTTTGTTGTCCAATATTATTAAATCAACATCAGAAAATTCATAGCGTTTTGCGTAAATAGTCAAAACCACGCAGTAAAATAATTCGTAGGTATTTTAAAATTCAAATTTAAGATCCAAATTCACAGTACATTCGCAAAGAGTTCAAGTCATATTTTATGTGGGTAACGCATTCCGCAACAACATCGAAGAAGTCTAACTTTCACATATTTTCCCGAAAATTTAGCTTACATACTCAGCTCACTCCTATGCAATCGCAAAAAAATTTAGAAACATGACTCTTTAAGCACATGTCGACAATACTTGTTAAAGAAACCTTTTCTCTACCTTGACGAGAAATGAACATGAAAGCTCTCACGATCATAAAATTAAACATCATGTTAGAAGTCATTCTATATTTAAAACCATGAAATTGAAAACATCTCCGAAATACTAAATGTTCTCAATGTACGGGAATATTTTATAGGGTTTATGGACCAGGACTAAGACAATTTTCGAACAATTACACAGTGATACAGCAAAAAAATGCAGGGGTTCTCATATACCAATTCCATTTCGTTATAGTCCATAGAGTAGGAATTTATTTTTAATTTTTCCCGATCACTTCGTTTAGTTCCTTTTTAAGAGCAAAAGTTGTGAAAAAGAGCTATTTCTGAAGTTTTAACTTTAAAAAAATATATGTCTGGTAGTTTGCAACCGATTTTCAAATTGGATATTTTGTTTTAAAGATACAAGTGTTGTCTTTCAACCCAAAAAAATAAATCCAAAATTTATGATTAATGTCTTGGTTACGGCCATTTAAGTAAAAAAACTCACACTTTTTTCACAATTTTTAATTTTCATACTGCTCTACGTTGGCCATGAAGCAATAACTTTAGCTTTTATTACATTTGAAAAAAGCCACATTAAGTTGGGTTTCCAATGATGGTCAATTTATGATAATCGATGAAAAAGGTTATGAGTTGTGCTAAGTTTTATAAAAATATAGCATATTTCTTCCATACAAAAACGTTCATGTTTCTGGTTTTCTTTGTAACAAGTTTAAAAAATGTTTATAAACATTTTTATACAAAAATTAATTTGTATGGAGAAAACCAAAAATTCGAGAAACATGCTATTAGAAAAATTGGCATAAATTATCCAGTTTTTCATAGATTTTTATGAAATAACAAGTTTTAGAAACCTTCCTTTATGTGATTCTTCAGGAAAGTAATAAAAGATGAACTCACTGCCTCATGGTCAAAGTAGAGCATGATGAAAATGAAAATTTTTTAAAAAAGTGTGAGTTTTTTTACTTAAACGACCGTAACTCAGACATTTGACCATAAATTTTGGATTTCTTTTTTTGGATTAAAAGACACTTGTATCATTAAAAAAAAATCGGATTTGAAAATCGGATGAAAACTACTAAACTTATGATTTTTCAAATTTAAAACTTCAAAAATGGCTCTTTTTCGCATCTTTTGCTCTTAAAAAGTAAGTTAACGAAGTGATAGGGGAAAACTAAAAATATATTCGTACTCTATGGACTATAACGAAATAGAATTGGTATATGAGAACGCCTGCATTTTATTTTTCTTCACTTTTGTATCACAGTGTTATTTATAACAATAAGATATCAAAATATGTATGGGGGTCCGTGAAATTAAATAAATTCCTCAAGGGGTCCGCGAAGTAAAAAATGGTGGGAACCGCTGATCTAGACAATGTTAATATAAAATATAAAACAATATTGTTTAATATGTTAACATTTAATAGAAAAAAATATTTTTCCTAAATAACATATTTGTATACATACCAATTATGCCATTATTTAAATAAAATGATATTTGTTTACGAGATGCTTGGTATTTTTAGATTTTTTACATAAATAATTCAAAATATTAACGAAGTTTTTCTCCGTTTTACGGAAATTTTTAAATATAAAAATGTAAACAATAACAAACTTTGACAGCTACGTAAACCAGGCGAATTAAGAAAAAAATTATCAGCTGATTGAATAACACCACCTTATCTGAATTCGCCTTGCTATGTATGTATGCAAATAGATAAAAAGAAAGAATTAATAAAAGTGAGTCATAACAAGTTAGAGTGCTATATTCGGCTGAGCCGAATCTTAAATACCCTCCACCAGCAACTTTTGTATTAATTAATAAAATATTTGTAGAAATAAGTTTTCTCATGTCTTAAATAGAAAAATCCCAAGATTTAAACAGCTTAAGTCTACTAGAATTCCAAGATTTATTGAACATTAGAAACGCCAATTTCTTTTAAATTTTTATAGCGCCCTAAGATATGCTTTAGCGATATTTAGTATTTACATGTATGCATGTGTGTGAAAGATTTAAGGATTTTCAAAATACATACATACATATATATAATTTTGTTCTACACAAATTGATAATGCAAATAGTTAAATACGGTTAAAGCGCTTTTAGGGGCAGGACCTAGTATGAGAGATATGACCAAATATAGACCGATCGTAAAAAATTCTTTAAGCAAAATTTCTGTACATAAAAACTATATTTCAGTAAAATTTTGTATCTATATCGTAATTTAGTAATAAGTAATGTGCGTTTTAGTGATTTTTTGAAGGGAACCTTGTATGGGACCCACCGCACCCATGTTATAAACCTATCGAGAAAAAATCTTGAAATATAATTTTTGTATACTGTTTCGGCGTATATCCGATTCGATTCAAGATGGACAAACCAAATAAGTTTCCCAATGATAAAAAATAAAACACAAGAAAATTAATAAAATTTCAAAATCAGAGAATAAATCTCTTTCTTTATTATTTACCTTTGTAAATGTTAGTTTCAAAAAACTCTTTGCACAAGTGCAGTAGATGGCTTCACTTTGGCTAATAACCAAATCAAACTTATAACTAAATAATGGAGGCAAACAATGTTTAAACACCGTTAGCGGTTTACTCGTTAGTTTTATTATAGTTTTCCATCAAAGATGTAAACTAATGGTAGTAAATCATTAGGATTTACACTTAGAGAAAAATGCCGCAAATAATCGATTTGTACTTAAACATTGCCGGCCCCCTTGCAACACTTAAGGTGTTGTAACTGAACTTACTGAGCCATTAAAGGGCTCGCGACGACTATAGTAATAATAAAATATTTTCCTCAATTCAAAATGAGTCATAAAGGACTCCAAATTTATTTGAAATATATAATAGCCATTAAGAGACTGGTTGAGCCATTACGGGACTCTAGTTGAGCCATAAAGAGACTCTAGTTGAGCCATAAAGAGACTCTGGTTATATTAAGATTTTGAATCTTATTTAGTAAGGCGACAAACCCGTAATGATCCAACCAAAAATGCTATATTGGGCAAGTGGAAGCCCAGGGCTCTGATGAATCCTGTCCCTCAAAATCATTGGTGCAATCTCCGGCCCCAAAACCAACGCTACTTGACCGGAATGATTAAAGGTGGGATCGGTTAACTGGAGACCTTTAAACGGCTCCAGGATCAAATCTGACACTGTGAGAGGAGGTGTTTTTACACGATCCATTTGATATACTCTCGCCAGTACAATAATACGCTGAGTATTCTCAAACCTCGATTCAACTTCGATTCTACAATGTTCCTGATCATTAATCTTTATCTTTGGAATTCTTAGTTTGGCGACTAAATCTGCACAAATATAACTATTCTGGCAGCATAGATCCAGAACAGACCTCACCAAAACTTTATTTCGAGGCAAACACAGGTTAAGTTGTATAGTCGGGGAAAAAGCAACCGCTTGTCGCAATTGTACATCCGCGAATGACGCTGCCTGACGCTCATTGGTTTTTGTAGACTTGGTTTTGGGGTGGAGAAGAAAATGGTGAGCTTCTTTACAAAACTTACATTTTGCTGAACTTTTGCAATTTTTGCTAACATGACCGCTTAATAAACAGCGATAACAAACTTTGTGCAATGCCACTTTGCGAAATCTGAGCTCAAGGTCCATTTTCTCGAATTTACGGCAAAACCTTAACAAATGGTTTTTGCGGCAAATTGGACATCTCGGCTTTTCCCGATTAGGACGCGCTTGCTGATCGACAGGATTCGAACCCGAAGCTTCCACTTGTTTAGGTACAGTAATGGTTGGCGGGGGTACTATAGTTGGTTCTGCAACCACTTCCATAGCAGCTTCTTCTGCTGCGACGGGCATCTTATTTAATGGTGGAACAACGGACTCCACTTGCATGGTTGGGGAATTCAAGCTTAACGCTGCTACCTTTAAGCTCTCAACAGTTAGACCCTGGGATCCAGTAACTTCATTGGAGTTGTCCTCGTTAAGGAGCTCTTCCTCAGTCAAAACTGTGGTAATTGGCTGTAGTTTTCTAACAGAGTCCATTGTTCTAGGGAAAATAAAAGGTTAGTAGGGAAATATTGACATAAAGTGATAGGTAAGTTAATCTTGCAAAACAACAAGTTTGGTTATCGGTCTTTTAAGTATCCCATTTGATGTCCGAACATCAACTACTCTAACGTGACCATCAGTACCATTATAAACCTGAACTACTCTTCCTATCTTCCATGAAGTAGCAGGTAACTGTTCATTTCGTAAAACAACTAAATCATTGATCGAAACATCTCTTTGGGGATGTTGCCACTTGTACCTTTTATGTAAAGTTGCTAAATATTCCTCTTTCCAACGTTTGCAAATATAGTGAACAAAAGCCTTCACTTTCCTATAACGATTCACAATACTAATTGGTCTGTCAAATATTGTTGGCTCCGGTGGAGCCAGTATTGCGGATCCTATTAAAAAATGACCAGGAGTGAGTGCAGTAGGCTCATTAGGACTATCAGGCATAGGACACAAAGGACGAGAATTCAGACATGCCTCAATCCTAGCCAGGATCGTAGACAATTCCTCAAACGTATATTTACAATTTTGAACTTCTTTCCGAAAATGGAGTTTAAAACTTTTGACTCCAGCTTCCCATAAGCCGCCCATATGAGGGGCGCCAGCTGGTATAAATTTCCATGACAAACTCTCATAACCTATTCTCGAACTCATTCTGGCCTCGCATTCTTTTAAAAAGGTTTGAAAATTCCTAGATATTTCATTTGACGCTCCAACAAAGTTCGTACCATTATCCGAAAAAATAGTGTGAGGACAACCTCTTCTAGAAATGAATCGATCAAAGGCCGCTAAAACAGCGTCAGTAGATAGGTCTGAAGTCGCTTCTAAATGTATGGCTTTGGTCGAAAAACAGACAAATACACATACATAACCTTTTTTTATTAAACACGAACGACCAGTAAAGTTTTTCACATCGAAAGGACCTGCAAAATCAACTCCAGTGGTTGTAAATGGTCTATCGATTGTGGTACGTTCCGGAGGTAGCGCAGCCATAATTTGACTGCATGAACGTTTTCGATCTATCGTGCAACGTTTACAATGATGAACCACTGTCCGTATCAGGGTTCGCAGTCTAGGGACCCAATACTCAGTTCGATAAACTCTCAACATTAATTGATTTCCACCATGAATCGTCAGCCTATGAACAAACTCCGCTACAAGTTTCGCAAGCCGACACCCGTAAGGTAATATGATGGGATACTGCTCTCGATATGACAACGAAGGTGACCTCACTAATCTACCATTTAATCTCATAACATTTCGCTCATCGAGGAAGGGGTTTAAAGGGATTAAAGAGCTCTTTGATGGTAAAGGTTTCTTATCCACAAGACATCTATATTCATTAGCATAATAGGCCTTTTGAGCTACAATAGCTAAACGAAGTTTCACCATTCTAATCTCTTGACAAGAGATTCTACTAGTCTCATAAACAAAACGCCCTTTCCTCGTTGGATGAGTGGCGTTGAAAAATCTGAATATATACGATATAACGCGTAAAGCTCTAGATAGCGAAGAAAATCTTTCTAGCACATCCTCAAAACGGGTAAAGAAGGAAGCATTAACTTTCGTCTTTCGAACTTCTAAGTCAGTGTCCATATTATCCAAACTCCGGATTTCCCATTTAGATTGATCCTGACATAACCACGAAGGACCATGCCACCACAATTCATTTCGGGATAAGGTAAGAGGATCTACACCTCTACTACCTAAGTCTGCAGGATTTTCTTCTGAACGCACGTGAAACCTGCTGCGGTTGCCAGTGTTCTCTTGGATGCGACAGACCCTATTTGCAACAAATGTTGTCCAAGAATAGGGTGGTTTGCGTAACCAAGCCAATACTATAGTTGAGTCAGTCCAACAATAGATACGCTCAATCGGAATTTGAATGTCCCGAGCAACATTCTTAAGCAATTCCGACGCCAAAACCGCACCACACAATTCAAGGCGAGGCAATGACACAGATTTTAATGGGGCTACTTTGGTCTTGGAAGTTAACAAGCTCGAAGTAATTTCGCCACATGGTGACTTTATACGTATATATAATACTCCGGCATAAGCTTTCTCTGAGGAATCAGAGAATAAATGAAGTTCAGTGACCGAATCTCTATAATAATTAACCCATCTTGGGATTTTAATAAAATTTACTTGGTTAAAGAACTCCACAAATCTTAACCACTCTTTCCTAGTAGAGTTTGTAAGAGAATCGTCCCATCCTATTTTGTCAAGCCAGATACGTTGCATAATTATCTTTGCTATGACAATAACTGGACTTAACCAGCCTACTGGATCAAAAAACTTTGCTATAGTAGATAACACCTCTCTTTTCGTATAAGACGTTTTAATTTCCAAAGGACATACTCTGAAGAAGAATGAATCTAACTGGGCATTCCAAAAAATACCTAAAGTTTTTGAACTACTAGACTCCATGAAAGTTAAAAGCTTTGCGTCAACCAAATGTCCAGGAGGCAAATCCTTTAAAATTGACTTGTCATTCGAAGTCCATTTCCTGAGTTCAAACCCGGCAGCCGATAAAGCCCTAATCAACTGATCCCTGGCTAACAAAGCACTAGACACTTCATGAGCTCCAGATAACACGTCGTCGACGTACATTCCTTCCCTTAAAATCTTCGAAGCCAATGGGAAGGTTTGCTCAGAGTCCTCTGCTAGTTGTAGCAAAGTCCTAATAGCCAAATAAGGAGCGCAATTAATACCAAATGTAACGGTCTGCAGTTCATAATCCACAATCTCTTCATCAGCTGAACTTCTGTAAAGAATTCGCTGGAATGGAGTGTGAGATGAATGGACCCTAATTTGCCTATACATTTTAGAAATGTCACAGTTAAATACAAACTTAAATAGTCGCCATCTCAAAATCAAACTAACCAAATCAGCTTGCAAAGAAGGTCCTACAAATAAACAGTCATTCAAACTTTTACCATTAGAGGTCCTATTCGAGGCGTTAAACACCACTCTAAGTCTTGTGGTTTTACTTTCCGGTTTTAAAACTGGAAGATGTGGCAAATAGCAAGAGTAAGTAACGGCCTTATTTCCAGTCCCCTTGGGCCTCATGTGATCCAAATCCAGATACTCCTTCAGCACTTCATCGTACATTTTCTTCACATCTGGTTTTCGTGTAAGTGAGGCTTCCATTTTCGTAAACTGTTTCAACACTCCTGTCCTCGAGATTCCTAAATTAATTTCCTGAGGGAACTCAGGTTTAAAGGGTAATGATACTACATATCTTCCCTCTGAATCACGAAAGGTAGTCTTTCTATAGATTTCCTCACACATTTTATCGGATTGCGATAGCACTTTCCGTCTTGGTGGCTGTTCTAACTCCCAAAATTTTGTGAGATTCTCATTTAAATTATCCTCCTCTGAATGGGTAATCGTAGTGGAGAATACATTGATAGAATCTTTTGGCGAAATGTTAACGGGTCCTGTCAGAACCCAACCAAACACAGTCTTCTGAGCCATTAAACTACCAACTATATTATTCCGAACTTCATCCAATATAATACGTGGATATAGGTCAGCGCCAAGTAATAAATCTACTGCCCTACTTTTGTAAAAGTTACGATCTGCCAGTCTTATATTTGGTAATTCACCTTTTATTTCCGAAGGACAATTGAATGAAGGCAAATTTCCGGAAATAGAAGGTAATACAAAAGCATTAGCTTCCAAATTAAAACCTGCATCTAGTGGGGAACCAACTCGAATAGAGCAACATTTCCTCGAAGTTGTAGAAGCGTCTTTATGAACACCGGAAATCGTAACATTCGTAGAATGTGACGGAAGTCGCAGTTGATTTCGCAAATGTTCCGATATGAAAGAGGCTTCCGAAGCAGGATCAATTAATGCTCTAGCTGGATACGTTGTATCATGACTATGAACCGAAACCATAGCTGTTCCCAATAAAACAGACGAATTTTGTAAAATATGGAAGACTTGGCGATTCGAATTAGTTGGAGCAGTGGCGGAGGTAGAAGCTTCTTGCAAATTTAATTCAGGCGTATTGCCAATTATTGCAACTTTAGAATTATTAGCTATAGGTGGTGAAGCAGAATTACCAACTGGATTCTCACGATGAAGCAAAGTATGATGTCTTTTCCTACAAACGGAACAACTATGTTCGCTCTTGCAATCCCTAACCTCATGGCTTGGTGCAAAACAGTTCACACAACAATGATGTTTCTTTACTACGTTATACCTCTCAGAAACAGACATTTTTTTGAATTGACGGCAAAAACGTAATAAGTGACCCTGTCTATGACAAACTACACACGCATTCTGAGTGCCTGTATTAGAAACATGAGCCTTTACTTTCCGTTCAAAACCTTTTTTATCAACATTGGAACTCGTTAGATCGCGGATGCAATCCAAAGTCTGAATTCTTTCGGACAAAAACATATCCAAATCCTTCCATAAGGTTAAGGCCGTTTTGTCCTTGATGCTCTGTTCCCATAATGTCACGGTCTGAGAAGGTAATCTTTGAATACAGATAAAAACTAGAATGGGATCCCAATTTTGAGTGGAAATTTCATAAATTGCCATGGCAGTAATAAAACCATTAATTCCGCGTTGCAACGTTTTCAAAGACGAGCTAGTTTCTTTTGAAATTGTCTCTAACCCAAACAAACCTTTCAACTGATTATTTACTAACATTCGAGGATTTTCATATGTATCCTTCAAGCTTTTCCAAGCGATATCAAAACCTAGGTTAGTCAATGGACATTTAGATAAAATCTCTCTTGCCTCCTTATCCGTCCTTTTTACCAAATAACATAACCGCTCTATATTACTAAGGCGACTGTTATTGATATACAATGCGGTAAAAAGATCCCTAAACGTGGGCCAAGATAGGTAATCGCCACTGAAAATGTCCGTGTCACAGGGAGGTAGAGGCAAATTATGACTGACGTTATCATGGTTTGTATCATTATTAATAGTAGGAGACTCTTTAGGTCTCGATCTGGCCTCAAGTTCATCAATTTTTAGTTTTATAAGCTTTGAACAACGCGCATAAATGTTCATGGTGCTATTAAATTTGCTTTCAGCCACTTGGATATCCTCTGGCTCCGCGTCTTCTGATGATTCAAGATCATCAATACACTTATCAAAGGCAATTTTCATTTTCTCCCATAACATCTTCAGTTCGCTGTTCAAAACTTCAAAATAATAAATATGATGCTCCTCTTCGCGAATGGTATGAAAATTAGCCTCAAATTTTATAACCGAATCCGAAAGACGGGTAAAACGTTCGAGAGCTGTCAACGGCATTTTCAAAAAAAAGTTTTAATTCGTTTCACTATTGACAATCCTAAATTGTATTCAATAAATTTCAAAGGTCACTGTACTAAGTCAATTCCACCGACCGTAGGGTGACTTTTATGCAATTGCAAAAAGAGAAGAAGAAGCAAAAAATTACAAGATAAATGCTTGCAAACCACACGAAAATAAATAAACGCAAATCTACAAAAATAAATTAGAGAATGCGTAAATAAACAAATTTACTCTTACGATTATATTGAGAGTTGTTTCCTCTAACGGCTGTGCTTTAGATAGAATTGTATTTCTTTTACCTTTTTTCGCTAACACTAGCCGCGACTTGAAGTTTATTTAAACACTTATTTATTTCGAAAGTACTTTACAATCTTATTAATCGAGTGTATATAAAGGAGGAAAAAAAAGAAAAATGCACCGCTTATAACTTTACTCGATATTGTTTATTCTAATTAACTTCTTAATCTTCAATTATCAAAAAAAGCACAAATTTTTAATTTTAATTATGGCTGTCCGTCTTTATAAACAAACACAGCCTTGATAAAAATGGTACCGATCACAAATGTCAAAGGGGTACTGTATAAAATATATTTCCCCAGGGATGTATTTGATAAATTTAATTCACAATAAGAATTAATTCACAGTAATACAAAAAATCCCTTTTTGACACTAACCAACTTGTTGTTTCTTAAGAAATATAAATTTATACTTCGCAAACACACACACAAGTACATATATGTGTATAATTAATTTGTGACTTTATATTTTTCAACAAAACTACCACTTTTAATGCCAAATTCACTAACCTTATTTTTTCCAATTGATGTTGATTCCAATTTAAAGGGCTTTGTATTTCCTTGTCAAGGAGACTTCCTTTGTAAATGGATAAATTTTCCTTGTGTTTAATCCGGTCCGAAGGAACAATGTTTCGGCGTATATCCGATTCGATTCAAGATGGACAAACCAAATAAGTTTCCCAATGATAAAAAGTAAAACACAAGAAAATTAATAAAATTTCAAAATCAGAGAATAAATCTCTTTCTTTATTATTTACCTTTGTAAATGTTAGTTTCAAAAAACTCTTTGCACAAGTGCAGTAGATGGCTTCACTTTGGCTAATAACCAAATCAAACTTATAACTAAATAATGGAGGCAAACAATGTTTAAACACCGTTAGCGGTTTACTCGTTAGTTTTATTATAGTTTTCCATCAAAGATGTAAACTAATGGTAGTAAATCATTAGGATTTACACTTAGAGAAAAATGCCGCAAATAATCGATTTGTACTTAAACATATACAAAACTATTATTTGTGCCAAACGTTGTATCAATGGCTTTATTTGGTAATGAGAAATGTGCCTTTAGGAGATTTTCGTAAAAGGACCTTGTATGGGAGCTATGACCAATTATGTATATAAAGACAAAATTTCAAAATTTTGTATTTATATCATGAATATTGTGCATTTAAGCGATTTTCTGGAGGGGACCTAGTATGAGAGTTATGACCAATTATGGACCGATCGGAAAAAATTTTCACAGTAATATATCTATGCATATGGGCAATACTTATACCAAATTTTATATGGATATCTTAATTTAGTAATGAGTTATGCGCGTTTAAGTGATTTTCGGGAGGTCACCTTGTATGGGAGCTATGTCCAATTATGGACCGATCCATAAAATTTTTCCTCTGAAAGAATTCTATTGATACAAGATTTTAATTTGTGAAATTTTGTGAAGATATCGACATTGTGGCGGACGTTATTAACAAAAAACCCATTTTCCGGGAATATGTACTTTTGTATGGGAGGTATATGAAATTGTTGACCGATTCTGGCGATTTTCAGCAGGGATCAAGCTCTTGTGTAGAAACGAATTTATGGTGATTTTCATGGAATTATCTTGCATAGTTTTCGAGAAAATTACATCACAATGTGTAAAAAATGCTTATTTTTTTCGAGGTTGTTTTAAATTTTGATTCATGACTTTTCCCTGTGTGAACCGATTTTGCGCATTTGCAATACCAAACAACTTAGGAAAATGAAGAACATTTTGGGTGAATTTGGTTAAACTCTATTGCTTCGTTTTATCGTGAGCGTGTTCTACACAGACAGACGGACAGAGCTAAATCGACTCAGAATTTGATAAGGACCCAGAATATATATACTTTGTTGGGTCTGAATATTTCTTGGTGTTACACACGGAATGACAAAGTTATATATACCCTCTATCACCACTGATGGTGGTGGAGGGTATAAAAAGCAAAAGTTATAACAAATGTTATTCGCAATTTTATAATAAAGCAGTCTGAATATTAAGAAAACATAAACAGACGTACATACATATGGAGTCATAACATAAGCGGACAGAAGAGATTTCATAAAATCCGCCTCCAAGTCAAGTGATTCTGCAGCAAAAATTAAAGAAAAAGTGGGTGTTACAGCAAGCCTAGCTGCAGTAAAACGTATTGTAAGAAGAGCCAAAGCTTTGAAAATATTAAAAAAAAATTAATAAAAACCACTACAATTGCCACTCGTAAAGAAAAACCTCTTCAGTTTCTATGTGAACACTTGGTTATAAAAAACAATAGCAACATCTTTTTTTCGGATCCAAGGTCCAAATGGATGTAATCGTTATTTTTGAAAGGAAGAGCTCTACCTGAGTCGTCTGCTGAGAAAATACTGAGAAAATGTTAATTTTGGTTTTGTGTAAATAATTTCACAGTGATACACCAAAAAAATGCAGGGGTTCTCATATACCAATTCCGCTTTGTTATAGTCCATAGAGTACGAATATATTTTTAGTTTTCCCCGATCACTTCGTTAACTTAGTTTTAAATTTTAAAAATCATAAGTACGTAAGCTGTACGTAAAGAAATTGACTATCGCTCGCAAGGTATATTAATTTTATAAGGTAGTGTCATCGCCGAATTCAGAGTAGAGAAGGCGAATTGGCTGTAAGAGAAAAATTTCGAAAACAGCTGACAAATAAATCAAAGCGAATTTATATTGAACAAAAAATGTTTATAAATTTCAATCTGTTTATAATTTATTTTGATGTTTAAACTTTTAAAGATTAAAAACACAAAAGTATACCCTAATCACACAATTTCACTTTAATCACAAAATTCACATATACAAAATGAAACCAGTTCGACATTAATAAAAAGAAAACAAGGATTGACATTTACAAAATGTAAACAAAGTTTGACATTAATTATACACCACGGCGAAAAATTAACATAATAGCAAAAAACGATCAGCTGTTCTGATAACACTACCTTATAATTAATATATCTTGTATCACTCGCAATAATATTTATTACGACATCAGCTGTGCAAGGGAAATAATAACTTAGTTTTATAACAAATGTACAAACAGTGTTGGCTAATATGATTTGACAAAGATAACATAAAAGCTATTGTCCAAGTTATTGCAGTGTACTAAAAAAATTCTATTTATCTGGACAAATTAAATTTTAGCAGGACAATCCAGGCAAGTCCGGCTGGCAACCCTAGGTGGGGGGCAATTTTGTATTATGAAACATGTGAGCTTCAATTTCGTTCATCCAGTAAGAATTGTAATAATTGAAATGACATACTGAAAACAGCTTTTTCACATTTTCGGATATCTTTGATCTTTACCGTGGATATTTAAAAAATATAATGCCCCGATCCATACCGCTAGGGCTGTAAAAGGATTGATTCGTAACCAGAATGTAAAAATTTTGGAGTGGCCTCCATACTTTCCTCCCCTATTTATTATTGCAAATGTTTCGGATATTCTTTCTCGTAAAGTGTATAAGTCGGGCAGACAGTATGACACAAATGTGGGAATTAAAATGGGTTAGTCCGAAATTTTCTTGCCATTAATTAACCCATTAACGCCTGACCCCCGAATCCGTTGTCCGATGTTGATGAAATTTTATACAAAAAGTTTTTAGGGCATTTATATTGCCTTGAAATTTTTTTTTATCTGTCACACCTGAGCCTGCAGGGTCTGAGTATTTTTCTACACATAAACGCATATTTTTGATGTTTTGATGAAGAGGTTGTAGATTTATCAATATTTAGCTGTCACATAGATGGTGAAGAGTCTAAAACACATATCCAACATATGTTTTTGAATATGAAATATAAGTGTAAAGTGGTTTTTGTATAGTACTGAATCATTTTCCCGTATTAAAAAATTTTGTTAGTTGTGTTATGTTAACCATTCACCATATATTTATATGTACATATCATAAAGATATCTTGAGACTTACGCGTTTACTTTAGAGTAAAATATATTCAATAAGTCAGTTAATAATTCCATTATTCTAAAATATAGCGAAATTCTTCTAAATCTTAAGATTCAACAGTTGTTGACAAATAGACGAGGAAAATACAAAAAGATGGATATTATTTGTCAGATAAGGCTGATACATTTAGTAATGTCTGATGAAATTTAAAAAACTAATGAAAAGACTTGATCGCTGACGATAATACAAATATTGGTCTCCAGAAAGAAAAAGTCTCGGAAACATAATATAAAAAATATATGGTGTTGTAAGGAGTTTCTGCACCACATGTTAAAACCATGGTTTCAACAAATGGAAATCGTTCAAATTGTTCATATTAAAGTTTTCACAAAGAATAACTAATTGAGTAGGAATGGAAAAATTTCGTCTTTGATTGATAAGAAATCCTGTATATATATATATATATACGCGTTCAAAATAATACGAGTGAAAAAATGAACAATTTTTAATATAATTTTTTTAGTGAAAGATTTAGATTTTTAATTAAACATTTTTATAATTTATTTATTTAACTCGTTCTCTAGTTTTTGTAATCGTTATTTAAAATATTTAAGAAATTTATATAAAAAATATTTATTTTTTAGAATTTATATACAAAATCTATTGTTCAAAATAATAGGAGTATTCGATTTAAGTTCAACTATTTTTAAAATAAAAACAAAAACGAAAGGACCTTCATCTAAAATATTATTAATTAATGTGTGGCAGTACAACATCAGTCATTTTTGTAAAGATTTTATTTAGAATTTGGGTATATGAGCCTCCGGAACTTAATGTCTTTCCGACAACGGTTTTGAGGGTATTGATGACACATGTCGTGTCCGATTACCAACAAATATGCAGTAATTTATTCAGAAAGCCTTAAAAGATGTTATACGCAAGGTCTTTTAACGTTTTGCTTTAGAATCAGTAAGTCGACAACCATGTAATGGCCTACTTCTATTGGAACGAGCTTCCACCAATTTGGAATCAATAATGTTTTCATACGACAACTCCGCCATTTTATCAAATTTGTTTATTGGGAATATGAGAACATATCTTAGGGTAATATGTTTACCTACAAAATTTGGTCTACGATATAATTTTACAATTTATTAGACCATACCCTTTTTGTCAAGACCTATCATGAATCATTCCTATTATATAACTTCCTTGAAAGTTGGTTTTAGCTTAATATTTTCGATTAATGGACTTCCAATATATTTTCTGAATTCATTTAGATCTAAAAATGTTATTTGTTGTCGTATTCATGCATTAAAAACTCATCCATTTATGAAACCACCTCTAAATGTGTTACTTTATGGGTTTCACTATATGCTTTATGGGTTTCACCATATGCTTTATGGTCTGAAATTAAATTTTTCAAAAAAGATTTGTTTAAAAATTGATCTGAACTAACTGAATAATGATCACGATGTTTAATAACTACAATTTGGCTTAGTTTCACTAATTCAGGATGCCCTAATGGGATTAATTTTAAAAAAATTATAAGCGCTTATGGGAAGCTCTTATCATTTTTGAATAAAATGTTTATTTTTTATGAGAGATTTTAAAACATTTGACTTTCTAAAGTATTCAAAAAATCTTTTAATGAAATTACCATGAGAATTTTCATATTTTTTTCGCCATATTTTTATAATTTTCAAGATATTAGAGCAGATTTCATTTTCGTCAATTCTGACATTTTCTT